GCCCTCCTCCTTCTCCCCCTCCATCCTTCTCCACCACCTTTCCCTCTCCCCCTCCTCCTCTCCACCAGCTTTCTCCACCCTCTCCTTCTCACCACCTTCTCCCTTCTTCCCCCTCTCCTTCTCCACAGCTCCCCCCCTTCCTTCTCCCTTTCCCTCCTCCTCCTCCACAGCTTCTCCCCTCCTGCCTTCCTCCACCAGCTTCTCGCCTTCTCCCCCTCCTCCTTCTTCTACACAGCTTCTCCCCTCCTCCTTTCGCCACCCTTCTCCCTTCTCCCCGTCCATCCTTCTCCACCAGCTTTTCTCCCCCCTGCTACTACTGCTACTACTAAGTGCTGCTGCTTCTACTGAGCTGCTGCTGATACGGGGTCATCCCTATAGACCAAAGGTCCGATAGACCGAATATTGCAAAGGGTTAGAGTTAGGGTTAGGGTTAGGGTTAGGGTTATGGTTATGGTTATGGTTATGGTTATGGTTAGGGTTAGGGTTAGGGTTATGGTTATGGTTATGGTTATGGTTATGGTTAGGGTTAGGGTTAGGGTTAGGGTTAAGGTTAAGGTTAAGGTTAGGGTTAGAGTTAGGGTTAGGATTAAGGTTAGGGTTTATAGTGGTATCGGTGGATGTGCGGCATATTCACGTTCGAATACGGCATCAGTGGATGTCCGGATGCGTAGCCTGGAGGCTGGGGGCCGGTTCCGGACGTGTTAACCACTGCGTATTCGAATAAACCTTCGGTCTATCGAGCCTTCTGTCTCTCGGACCTTTGGTCTATAGAGCTGTAACCGCTGCTACTGCTGCTACTGCTGCTACTGAGCTGCTGCTGCTACTGCTGCTGCTGCTACTGTTGCTGCTGCTACTACTGCTGCTGCTACTGTTCCTGCTTCTACTACTGCTGCTGCTGCTGCTGCTACTACTACTACTGACCACTACCATACAATCGCATATACAAAAGCATGCAAAACTCTTATTACCCAACTCTTAGAGGCTAAGAAAGGTAATATATTGGTTGACTACTTCATCTTGAAAATTTACCTCTACAAATGCACTTGATTTAATTAAACATAACACTAATAGAGAATAATATGAATCTTTGTTTTACCAAATTAGACGTGATGGCACTATTATCATCAGGATTTCCAGAGGTTCTATCAGCCTGAAAATTAATCATATTATCAAGAGTGAATAACAAGTGCCGCAGAGCGACAGCGCTCAACTGACGTGTACTGTAGCCGGCTATTCTTCTGATAAACTCACTGGCAACCGAATCAAGTACGCCCTCCCGCCACCGCGTTGATAGGCTTTGCTATAAATCTTGTGCAGTGATGTCATATTATAGGATGTTCTATTGTTTCCCCGCCATACTGGTGATCATCTCATTCTGATCAGCTGGCTCAGACTGGTACCCGGTCGGCACCGTCACTCCGTGCAGAGACAGGTCCACGTTCAGAGCCGGTCTACAGCCTGATCACCATAGGATTGCTGCGTGATATATCAAGAATGCTCTCCCCTTATGCAAACAAACTCGATTCTGTGGCTAAACAGCAGTGTGAGTAGTTTTTATTATCTTCGTCGCAGCAATGCCAAACACGCCGCTAGAGGGCGTGCATCTTTGTCGCAGCGATGCCGACACACGCCGCTAGAGGGCGTGCGTCTTCGTCGCAGCAATGCCGAACACGCCGCTAAAGGGCGTGCGTCTTCGTCGCAGCAATGCTGACACACGCCGCTAGAGGGCGTGCGTCTTCGTCGCCTCGATGCCAAACACGCCGCTGAAGATGTTGATGATGGTAATGAAGAAGATGCCAACGGACGTGGCGTCGTTAATGCGGTCGAGCTGAGCCTGGTACTTCTCCTTGTTGATGTTGGTGATGGAGAGCCACAGCAGTAGGACTCCCACGGCGAGCTGCAGCATCATCGAGGCGATCACCAGCACCATCATGAACGTGTAGTAGCGGTAGAACGAGCCAACCTCCAGCAGTGCCTGCACACATGTACGACAACACGTCAGCTATGCACTACACTGTAATATTACTCATACAGTACTGAGCACACCACGCATGACTACGACACACACGAGTGCTATGGGTGACAATATGCCATATATTAGATGTGAGCGATAGATGTTAATATGCCATATGTTTCACCTGAGCTATCAATATTACTATACCTGAGCTATGGATATCACTACACAAGAACTATTGATTTCACTATACCTGAGCTATCAATATAACTATACCTGAGCTATCAATACAACTATACCTGAGCTATCAATATAACTATACTGAGCTATTGATATTACTATACCTGAGCTATTTATAGAACTATACGTGAGCTATTTATATAACTATACCTAGGCTATTGATATCATTATACCTGAGCTATTAATATAACTATACCTGTGCTATTGATATAACTATACCTGAGCTATTGATATCACTATACCTGAGCTATTTATATAACTATACCTGAGCTATTAATATCACTATACCTGAGCTATTGATATAACTATACCGGAGCTATTTATATAACTATACCTGAGCTATTTAGATAACTACACCTGAGCTATTTATATAACTACACCTGAGCTATTTATATAACTACACCTGAGCTATTGATATCAATACACCTGTACTATGCATGCCAGTACTGCCTACATGAGAAGTGCCTAACGTGAGTTGTTACCTTGAGCTGTGAGGCGTTTGACATGAGGAGGGCCACGTCCAGCATACCCTGAGTAATCGTCTTCTTCGTCACATAACTATTTACATTAAAGTTCGGGGACAGAAACAACTGAAACAAACAATTCTGTTAAGCTACAAAGGAAGAATGCGTGATTTTGTAATAGATTGCTCGTACAAACCCCAGCAATGCATTACTCACTACTCATTACTACTGCTATAATTACTACTACTCATAGCTACTCATTACTACTGCTATAATTACTACTACTCATAGCTACTCATACTACTGCTATTACTATTACTACTACTACTACTGCTACTACTGCTACTACTAAGTGCTGCTGCTTCTACTGAGGCTGCTGCTTGATACGGGGTCATCCCTATAGACCCAAAGGTCCGATAGACCGAATATTGCAAAGGTTAGGTTAGGGTTAGGGTTAGGGTTAGGGTTATTGGTTATGGTTATGGTTATGTTATGGTTATGGTTATGGACTTATGGGTAGGGTTAGGGTTAGGGTTAGGGTTAAGGTTAAGGTTAAGGTTAGGGTTAGAGTTAGGGTTAGGATTAAGGTTAGGGTTTATAGTGGCATCGGTGGATGTGCGGCATATTCACGTTCGAATACGGCATCAGTGATGTCCGGATGCGTAGCCTGGAGGCTGGGGGCCGGTTCCGGACGTGTTAACCACATGCGTATTGCGAATAAACCTTCGTCTATCGAGCCTTCTGTCTCCTGCGACCTTGGTCTATAGAGCTGTAACCCGCTGCTACTGCTGCTACTGCTGCTACTGAGCTGCTGCTGCTACTGCTGCTGCTGCTACTGTTGCTGCTGCTACTACTGCTGCCTGCTACTGTTCTGCGTTCTACTACTGCTGCCTGGCGCTGCTGCTTACTATACTACTACTGACGCACTACCATACAATCGCATATACAAAAGCATGCAAAACTCTTATTACCCAACTCTTAGAGGCTAAGAAAGGTAATATATTGTTGAGCTACTTTCATCTTGAAAATTTACCTCTACAAATGACTTGATTTTAAAGGCATAATAGGCCCATTGATTATACAAAGTTGACGAATGCTAGCAGTAACTGGCACCTTCTGTAGTTAATAAGTAGCATTACCTATAGTCAACGCGTATTAGTTTGTCCAATATCACTGCTAATTACTAAGAAATTGTCTAATTGAAATCCGTAAATCTGGTAATCTGGCGCCAACCGCTAATTGGTTTGCCAAGCACAAATAGCGTCGAATTCGGTTAGGCAACGTCACATGTTGCTACGGGTGGTTTAGCGAGAATTGTTTGTCTCGCGCGGATGCTTATATACGACTAATGAGCTATGTAGAATGTATCTCTGGGTGTATTCGTCGTATTGCGGCACAAGTAAATACACAGGCCGTGGTGCTAATGAACGGGTACCGCACATGTCTTCAATTTCAGACACAGGTGTATTCGTTTGACCAATATCACGTAAATACGCGTAGTGCCGTCTGCTTTCCATGTTTAGTCTGTGGCCGGTGGTTAGTCCGCGATCCTCCATAGCGTTGGCCCCCAACACAGCCTACTTCATTATCACGAGCGCCTCCGTGATTCGTACGTGGATTCGCACGTTCATTACAATCAGAGCTACTGTTACGTATACAGTTACGGTACTGTACTAATCGGCTAGCATTGCGTACGGCCGAGCGAAAATGCATGCGTGCGTGCGTTTTGGCATGCGTGCGAAAATGTCCGGTGGACTATAAATCTGTATCACACCCGTTTCGCAAGTATGGGGTTTCGAAACTGTAAACAAGTCAGTAACTGATTTCGTGGACTGTGGATTTCAATTAGACATTTCTTAGTAACCAGCAGTGATATTGGACAAACGAATACGCGTTTGGCTATACAGGTAATGTACTTATTAACTACACAAGGTGCCGTTACTCCTAGCAATTCGTTAAAATTGCATAATCGATGGGCCTATTATGCCTTTAATTAAACATACACTAATAGAGGAATAATATGCAATCTTTGTTTTACCAAATTAGACGTGATGGGCACTATTATCATCAGGATTTCCAGAGGTTCTATCAGCCTGAAAATTAATCATATTATCAAGAGTGAATAACAAGTGCCGCAGAGCGACAGCGCTCAACTGACGTGTACTGTAGCGGCTATTCTTCTGATAAACTCACTGCAACCGAATCAAGTACGCCCTCCCGCCAGCCGCGTGATAGGCTTTGCCTATAAATCTTGTGCAGTGATGTCATATTATAGGATGTTCTATTGTTTCCCGCCCATACTGCGTGATCATCTCATTCTGATCAGCTGGCTCAGACTGGTACCCCGTCGCACCGTCACTCCGTGCAGAGACAGGTCACGTTCAGAGAGCGGTCTACAGCCTGATCACCATAGGATTGCTGGCGTGATATATCAGAATGCTCTCCCCTTATGCAAACAAACTCGATTCTGTGGCTAAACAGCAGTGTGAGTAGTTTTTATTACCGGTTTATTATGCATGCGTGCGTGCGTGCATATGTAAACGTGCGTGCGTGTATGCGTGTGTACGTGTGTGCGTGTGTGCGTGCGTGTGCACGTATACGTGCGTGCGTACGTGTGTACGTACACGTACGGCGTTCTTCGTGCGTGGGCTGTGTGCGTGCGTGAGTGCGTGCGCATCTGTGCACGTACACGGTGCGTGCATGCTGTGAGTGCGTACATGTGCGTGCATGTGTGCATGTGCACGTACACGTGCGTGCATGAGTGTGTGCGTGCGTGTGCAAGTACACGTGCGTGCGTGCGCGCGTGTGCAGGTACACGTTCGTGCGTGCGTGCGTGCATGCGTGCGTGTGTGCGTACGTGCGTGTGTGCAAGTAGGAGTATCAAAACCACACCCATGATTATAACAAAAAAATAATTTTAAGAAGGTAATGAGAAAATGTCATCAAAAGCCAAAAGGGCTATTGGTGACATATTGTGCTAATGTGTTTTCAGGTGGTTGGGAGTGAAACACGAGCTGTAAAAATATGTCCAGAGGTGGCAAGTGCAACAGAAGGAGAGAAGGAGTGTAAACAGGAATGAAGATATAAATTCAAACCTTATGTTGTAACTGTCATCAACTATAATAGCGCATACACAGTGTCGTCACAACTCGACAATCGCACAAAGAGACAAAGAACGCGCACACGCACATACGCGCATGTGCCTCCTTCCGCGACCAGACCCAGAATCCTCTCTCCCCTTACATCTCTCTCTATATATTCCCCAACACTCCTACAAACCACATGCACCACGCACATGTACCCGTTCTCACAGACTAACGTCGCTACCCCCATTTCACAATGACCTCTAATCTGTCTAACACAACCACGTCTACCATTCTCCCTAATACATCAACGTAGCCGCGAATCTTGTTGAGCGACGCTTGTCTAGCTAGACTATGGCTAAAAAAACTCACCAGTCTAGCCTCCAGCTGACTAACATGTAACACGTAAAAAACAGATGTTAGAGGAGTCATTCTACGAAGGATTGAATGCATCATGTGATAAATATAATAAATCTACAAGTACTCATTTACAGACATATGCGCTTTACCAGTGCAGTTTTATTGTTTGCTCTGCATACTCCGTGATAACCAACATTCGACATGAGAAAATCTTTTATTTTTAGCTCAGCTGACGAAGTCAGATGCAGCTTGTACAGGCGCGGATTTAGGCCGGTTTGCACCAATTTCCAGAAACCGGTCACAGGCTGGGTATCTTCAGAATTGACCCTCAAAATTCACCAGAATGCACAAATATAGCCAAATTTTTTAAAAATTCCCGGGGGGAATTTTTTACATTTCGTTACATTTCCGGACCCCCCGAGCTGTGACTAGAACTATGGAAACTGGTCACCCAAACCCTCTGAATCCGCCCCTGTTGTAGAATCGCATGATTGTCCGTCCATCCGTGCGTCGTATCGTGTCTGTGTGTCAACAGTTATGGCACAAAATCTTAACACGGCTCGACGTACGGTCTTGATTTTTGGGACGTCGGGGGAGATTGAGTTAGTATGATACTAGTACGACAGGTAGCAACAGACCTCAGCTGAACCCAGTCGCTCTTCGGTTCTGGTCAAATTTACATTTGGCTGGTTTTTGGTATTATGAAACATGCTACATATAATATTGATGCTAATCATAAATAATGATAATAAACTGTCACAATTTATATTCCATGACAGGTGCTAACAGTGTCATACTGTCGGCAATACCTGGATACACAGAACACTTTGAGAAGTCAGCCAACACAACCTTGCCAGCTCCTCTAACAGAACTGTAAAGTTCACAGCATGCCAATTTGAGCTTCGCTGTGCTAATCGACAAATCGAGGGAGACATTTGTCTGGCTGTCAGATGGGCTGTCGAATGAGCTGGTCTCTTGTGGTGTTCTAGCCAGGTTTAATAGGGCTGCTGCATGCTGCTGTTGATCTCTTAGTCTAAAATTTTAGTTCCAATCATTAATATATTTAGTCAGGGTAAGATTGTCAGATGTTAACATGGTATTTATAATATATATTATCGCCAATATAGTCGAAAGAACACTAGACTTAGCCACAACACACTACACGTAAGGTTTATTACTCGATTCAACACGAAGGAGGAAGTGACAACCTACGCGCACGCGTAGTACACGTCAAGACCACACATACGGTATTGTCTACGCACGTAACTTCCTGTAGTGACTCCCTGCGCCACTCTTCTTTCATATAATTAACCAACTCAAAGAAACACACACGTCCGTGCTACAAGCCCCAATTGTAGCAGATTCATTAAGGTACATGTATAATCAAAACATTGAGGTGGACAACTGAAATCCACCAACCATAGGGCGATCACCACAACTTGCATATTAAAGCGTCCATGGTCATACAGGAACACACATATGCTGGTAACTTAATGCTGCACACTCGGTCATATAGAAAGTTATACTACAGGTCACCCCATCAGAGCTTAAGCACGCACCAGTCACACGCACAGCCCTACCCCTAACCTACCGGCCAATACTTGTCATCATACTAAAATTACGGCTCTACCGCTACCACGTAAACACATAGGAAAGCATACGTCTAGAGTACAACCTCCTAACCTTCGGCCACTAACTAAAGTAGCCCATTAATGCGCCAAGCTCTTCTGGGCTGACGTCGCTTCGCGCGCTTGGTCGGCCCTCTCCGAGACACTGACTCAACAACGCCTCGCGAGTGCCACAGCGAATTGCCGATATGATCCTCGCGCGCTGAGGTACTGGGGTATTGCCACGAGACAGCAGGAAGTGCACCGTAGAAATCTGGGAACTACCTAGAGGGTTGCGTGGGGTTTTTATAACGCCAGGGAATCTCGGGGCACGGCCCGATGGAGTCACCGGGAGCCTGGGGATCCGCGGGCCTGGAGGATCACTGGAGCGCGACCAAGCACTACCTTCGCTACGTCGTCTTCATCGGGGACGAGTCGACATGCGCAGGAGAGATACGTCGGTGTCCGGACTCTTGACGGGATGGGAACCTAGCGGTCGTAAAGTGCAGAGCTGTCTGACTCTATGCAGCAGACTGGACGGCGAGTTGAGAACCGGCAAACTTGTCTACACTATGATCCAACAACTCGCCCTCCAACGTTACAAGCACGATACCTATTGCGACGCATGTGACATTGCTCGCGATCCGATCGCAAATACACCAGTCTCAATCCAATATGCCCCGATGGGGGTAGGTAGGTCCACTAGGCGTTTTACGCACATTATCACTTATGGGTGTTTGACACCTCAGACTCTTGCTTGACGCAGTATGATTGACTGCTCGTCAATAGTTATGCTGCTTGTGGGGACTGGTCACGCTGAGCTCCACGATTTTCTTAGTATGAATAACCCCCCTTCGCTCAGCCGGCGTATTTATCGAGCTTGCAACATGCAATCGCTAACCCCACTGATCAGGCCAAAACGAGTCAACGGCACAGAGGGATTCTGACGTACTAATGCATATTCCTCCGTTCATAACTCCTGTATCGCCCTTTTCGGTACGGGGTTTTGTTTTACATTCTCTAGCTCTCAGTCTCTTAACCCACTTCAACTCCGTAACGGTCCGACTCGAGCGTGACAGGCAAGTCTCATCATTAACCCAGGCTAGCGGCAAAACGGGTGCCGGATCTGCTTCGCAGCAACGGCAGGGCGGTCCCTCAAGGCGGACATAACTCATGACACAACGCACAAATCGCATCCCTAAGCGTTTCATGACGTTCGTTCTCCACAAATGTGGCCACGCGTATGAACGCATAACATAGCTCTCGAAGCGAAGCAGAAGTCATCTGACGCTCACGTCTGAATGACATCCGCAGCAAACAAATACCCTACACATGCAGGCGGTATCGCCTGTACTTTGTTCACTGGTGCATTTGTCGGAAGTTTCTTGAGAGAAGGCACATGATGACAGGGCCCTACCGCGTGACTGTGACGACTGATCGTTTTACCGCAGACTCCAAAGCCGTGCGAATATCGTTGAACAACGGACTTTCAACTGGTAAGCGGAAGTGATGGTCCACACTTGATACTGTCAGGGCAGTGAGGAAAGCTCTTCAAGTGCATGTCTGGCGGATCACAATACACTCACGAGGATGGGGAGCAATGTACCCTCATGTCTTCACCACAAGTAAACCATCCCTAGACAGGTACGACCATGCCAAGTAACGTTAAACGTCTTTGACATTTGGTGAGTTTCTTGGACGCCGAGTACCTGACGCCAGATGTGCCGCATGCACGACGCGTCAGTCCGCCACGTCTGACTGATAAAGCAACTCAAGCAGAGAAGGCTCCTAGTAATGCGGCAGTCTTGACAGAACCCATCCAAAACTTCCTTTTGCTAGAAACGGAGCGCACAACGGGTCCTCAATGCTCGCGCTTGAAGCAAACGAACACGTGTACCCTTGACATATCAGGCATCTCAGCACTCCGCAGTGCGTTTCGACTAATGCAAATCGCGACTGTAATATGGCTGACCGCTAACTGTGTCTGACTGACACCTGATACCGACTAGCCGTCACCGTACGAACAATTCGACGGAAC